TGAGCGTCCATGACCATATGATACAGGTCCGCTGTCAAGGGGCTGCCTGGAACAAAGAGGCCGAGGAGGGGTGGTGCGGGAAGAAAGAGAAACGAGAGGAGGAAGAGAGGAGAGGAGAGGAAGGAAAGGTTGGCCATCTGGGCCCAACCTTGTGGCTGGCACATCTCTGGGCCCAAATATCCAAGAGATGTGAGTCCGTCCATGACCATGTGATTTAGGGTTTAGGGTCAGGGGTTAAAGGCTGGGATAGAAGGAAAGGAGGAGAGAGGAGCTACATATAGAGCGGGAGAAGAGAAGAGCAAGGGACGGTTGGCCCTCCCTCCTTTCACCTCTCCTCTTCTCCTCTTCTCCTCTTTCTCTTTCCCTGACTTCTCTCCTCTCACCTCTCTTCCTCTCACCTCTATTCTCCACTTTCGCCTCCTCGCACCTCTCTCTCTCTCTCCTCATCTCACCTCGTTTCTCCATCGCCAGCAGCAGCTCCTCAGCCTTCTCGGCCTGCCCTGCCCTTTGGTAGGCACTCATCAGTGCCTTGTACGACTGTTCCCCCAACAACTGCTCTTGCGCGCCCACCACTCCCATCTGCTCCCCTACCAACTCCTTCTGCTCAAATACGCCTCCTCTCTGCTTCTCTCTCACCATGCCACCTCCCTGGTCACCATCTCCCCCCTGCTTCTCCCTCTCAGCCGCCTGTGGCTCCTTTATTCCCGAAGCTGCACCAGACAGCAGGCTCGTTTCCAAAGCTGCAGGCCCGAGTTGAATATTCCTCCAGACCGCAAGTTCAGGCCGAGCCTGCGGTGCTAGTCCGACGAAAGCCTCGTTTGCACGGGCTTGGACCATGTGCTGTGCTCTGTGAAATAGGTCTGGAAAGGGGAGGGGGAGAGAAAGGGGTCGAGAAGGGAGGGTTAGATTGTGCATGCGCAGATTAAAAATAGCACTTGGGGCGAAAGTTGAGCTTCATGAAATAGGGCTGGAAGCAGGGAGGGAGAGAGAGGAGGGGATAAGGTAGAAAAACGTGGAGGGAGAGCGGACAGGCACAAAGAGAAACGAGAAGAACCACAGTGACTCACCTTCAGCTTCTCTCCACCTGCCAGCAGCAGCAAGGCAGCGAATGACAGATGCCAGCAGGCCATCCCTCCATGGGAGACCGCGGGCGCTCATGGCATGCAGCACGTGAATGGCTTCGTTGGGCATGCCCGCATGGGTGTACCTGTGGTAAAGATGGGTTAATACATGAGGTGTTGCATGGGGTGACGAATGGGAAAATGAGGCAAGAGGCATGAGGCATGCCATGTCACAGCATGGCATGCGCGCTCATGGCATGACATGCAGCATGTGAATGGCCTCGTTGGACATGCACGCATGGGTGTACCTGGTGTGGTGTGGTGTGGTGTGGTGTGGTGTGGTGTAGTGGGGTGTTAACCAAGTATGTGAAGCATGGGGTACAAAAAGCGCTCATGGCATGCAGCACGTGGATGTGTCGTTGGGCATGCATGCCTGCATGGGTGTACCTAGGTGGGTGGTACACATAGGATGGGTCAACAAGTATGTGATTAGAACGTACAACGTGCACTCATGGCACGCAGCACGAGGGTGACAGTGCATCTGCCTTTAGCTACGACCCTACAATGCTTAGACGGCACAGACAAACAAGCACAGCACTGCAGCTTTTTAACAGAGGCACCAAGGCTGGGAGGTGTAAAAGGTGACCGTGTGAGGGAACACCGAGACACATCTTCATAACATGCGTTCGCACGCTGAGTCCCAGGCTCACATGCGAATGAGAGCACGATAAGTTGCTTCGGTTGGGGTGCAATCATTCCCTTTCCTCCTCTTCCTCCCCCCTTCCCCTCCTCCCTTCTCTTCCCACTCCCCTCCGCTCTCTCCCCACTCCCCTTCCGTTTCCTCCTCCTCTTCTCCACCATTCTCCTCCATCCACTCCCACACTCTCCCTGCCTTGTCATACGCCCCCACACGAGCATATAACCCAATCATGCTGTTACACGTGGCAACGTCCAATTGGACCCCTTCCTTCACCATCTCCCTCACTCCCTCTTCTGCCTCCCCTGCTCTCCCCTCTCTAGCCCAAGCCCGCACGATCCATCTCAGAACCTTCCCAGGAACCTTCCACCCCTCCTCCCTCACTCTCTCACACGCCTCCTCCGCTTCTTCCACCCTCCCGTCCCTCAGATAAGCCTCCACCAGAAGCAGACAAAACTGCCGGTTGGGTGTGACTCCGACTGCTGCCATCCGGGCGGCGAGCGCTGACGCAGCATCTGACACTCGTCCCAAAGTAGGCACAGAAGGTGACAAACGACGGTTGCCAGCTGGCGACGACTCAATGTCCACGTCAGCACGTCTGGATGCGACCAGAGGCCAATCAGCATTAAGCAGTGCACGCGTGGCATGACAAAAGGCTGCTGCATTTAACCAACCCCTGTCAACACCTCCCCCTCTTTCACCTCCTCTTTTATCATCACCCAATGCCCCATGCCCTCTTGCTCTGTAACCCTCCTCTTCCCACTCCCCCTCTCCCTCTTCCTCTTCCTCTTTCTCCTCCTCTACCTCCTCGCCCTCTTCTCTCTCCTGAGCCTTCTCTTCCTCCTTCACCCCACCATCCTCCCCTTCCATCACTCCCAGCATCATCAGTGCCTCGGCTGCTCTCCCCTCTCTCCCACACCTTTCCAGGTACAGCAGCTTCTGCCTTGCTGGGTTCTGACTCTGCTTAGCTGGTAATTTACTCTGACTTGCTGGAATATGAATCTGCTTAGCTGGATTCTGCTCTTGCTTCGCTGGATCCTGCTCATGCCATTTGGCTAATCCAGTTGGCGAGTCGCCGTCTGGATGATAACCCGCTTTGCTACTAACAAGTACAAAAGGAGAATTAGCATCCTCGCGTGACACTGACAAGCTGTCTGCTTCGCTATCAGTCACGACCACAATCCCTCCACTCCCGTCAAACATACCCTTAAATTTCCCGAAATTCCTGTCCTTCCTCCTCTGGTTACTCCATATTCTAAGCGTTTCCTCCTCTCTCTTGGGAACGCGCGAATTTTCTCCTCGTCTCCATAATTGTCTAACTATGCCGTTCCCTAATCTCCTACCGTTACTCCAACTCTTACTCCTACCATCTCTCCTCGTCCACCCTGTCCTTCCGAGTCGCCTCTCCTCTTTATCCAATCCCCGAGGCGCCTCAAGAGCATTCTCTCTCTCCTGAGCCTTAATGCTGACCGCAATTCTCGAAGCTTCCCTCTTATTCCCATCCCCGTTACCGTAAGCCTCGTTTTTCTCCAAGAAGCCTCCTGCTTCCGCAGCATTATTATCCCAACGCTGCAAGCTGTATCTGGTTCGAACACTTTGTACGCCGAGGTATCTGTGCGGTATATTCAGCCCGCGATGTGCTACACTGCATCCGCGTTTCAAGCCGAGGTACGGTTTGGGAGTCAGAATCCCAGGAAGCCTCGGGTTCGGATCGACGATTCGATTCTGGCAACTGATCAGTAAAGCGCGGCTCGGATCCGGAGCAGCACGAGCGGAACAGGCGCCAATGCGCATTGGAATACACTTTGGACAATAAGAAATCATTTTTCAAATCCTGTAAGGTTCTCAGAGGATTTTGTAAGGATTATCGAACGATTCCCCAAGGAAAGAAAGGAGATGCTCAGCACGAGACCTTGAACCGTTAGAGGGGCACTGAGCTAGAACGGGAACGGCACGAGGAAAGACTCCTCAAAAGGGTAATCGCTCTGAAGAGCGACACGCGATTGGTGTCGCCTGTCATGTCCCTCGATCGATCGCGCGATCGCTGTGAAAAACCGATCGGGCACACCGATCGGGCACCCTTAGTCAGTTTCAGTCGATGGTGCTTCCAAGCTGGATGAACCAAAGCCTAGGCGTTGTTCGGCAGCCAGCGGAGGGGGTTTGATGGAGGAACAAAATGGCGAGCCTCCAGGCTCGACCAGTACGAACCAGGCAAAACACTTCGGTCAGGCTAGAAAAATGTGAAAAAAATGTCGAACGTAAGTCTGAAACGCGACGCGAACACCACGCTAGGTGGTAACCCGCGCCGCATCCTCCCCCAAAACCTCCCCCATGGCGGAAAAAATCCGCCCTAGTGCCCAGGGAATCCAAATTGCACTCCCGTGAAAGGCCTCCGCCGCGGGGGATACAAAATGGATCCCCTCAACTACGAAATTGTTTTATTATTGTCCCCCACACTCTAAACTGACGGGTAAACCGGACATCGGAAATGTATTGTAAAACAGTTGTATTTAATAAGGTCAAATGGGTGAGTACGACATTTAAGACATCCATTTTATTTTCTGGTGTTAAATGTTTTCAGGAAGTGATATACCCAATCCCATCGCAGCAGTAAAATGAGGCAGGGAGAAGAAAAACTGTTCAGCTCGCGAAGTTTCGTTTCGTGCGGCTGCAGTTTCGTGGGCCCCCAATTCCCGCGTCGCTCATCCGCGCCTTTTCCCCCAAAGATTCCGCTTGCGCCTGGATCCCAGACTTGGAGTCAACGCTGGTAGACTCCGAGTTGACCACCCCGAACTAGAAACCCTAGCTGAGAATTTAGATCCCCCTCTCGATCCCTCGGTGGATCCCCTGTGCTGCCGAACATCGCCCTAGTGGATTCCGGCAATGGCAATCCCAAGGTCCAGAAGCAGATGGAACGAGAAAATGTGCATAGGGGTGATTCAAATTCATGCTCAAAACCCTACCCAATCGTCCTAGGATATAAACCAACCGCTCTGTGTTAAAACATCTCAACCAGGCAGCCTTCGCAAATTATGACTCGAACTTCGCTCACGCGATTATGTTATGAGATAAAAGCACCCTATTTTATTCTTCTAGAGCAGCTCAGAAACCAGAAAACGTTCCATATTATTGAACATCAAAATTGATCATAAGCATGGATGAAATACAACATTCTGCATTAAAAAAAAAAACTAACAAATAAGCACTTCAACAACACATCCCGAGTGCAAGCACTACCCACATCACCGCATGCGGTAGTGCTGTGTGCGTGATGCCTTCCCTCGACGACCATCAAATTTGTAAGTCACGGATATGTCTAGATCGCGGGGGTTCTTCTCGTTCGGCTTCACTTGCATGGTTCCGGTAACCGCTTCCCCTTCACACATGGTTAGGGTATCTTCCAGATATAGCACCGTTTGCTTCCAATGCGTGCCCCGGCTCTTGGGCCCTGAGGAAACGATCGGAGCATCAGCCAAACGCTTGAGTTTGTCAGACAGTGTATAAATTGGAAATCTCGAGCATAGAGTAAAGAAAAGTGAGGCAGGGATGAAAACAATGGCCTAAGAGGAAGGTGGGAGAATGGGAGAGGACAGGTAGGGGAGAGGACAGGTGGGGAATGGGGCAATTGAACCAGATATACAGTGAATAAGACACTTATCAAAACTCCAAAGCCAGTAGTTTGATGTGGCTCATGCATGCTCACCTGTTGAGAAGCCAATGGGCTTGTGGCACTTGGTGAAGCCGACGTCAAAATAGGCCACAAGAGCATGCACAAAGTAATTTCTCTCCGCCACTCAATGAGCAAGTGTGTATGCCCCATGCTATGACAATGGCGGTTCCTGCAGTTACTACTGGTACCTGTGGAGAAACCGATGGGCTTGTGACACTTGGTGAAGCCAACGTCAAAATAGGCCACGAGCGCATGCACGAAGTCGTTCCTCTCCGCCACGAGCTTGAACGGCACCGAGAAGGAGAGGTCGCCCCTCGTCACCTTGCTGATGTCGAGCGACTGGTGAAACGGCAAAGGGGGGGAGAGAAAAAAGGGGACAGAGGAGCAGTTTATCAAGAACGGACGGAGGGAGGATGCGAATGAAGTCATTCCAGGGCTCAGGGTTTAGAGCTTTGAGAGGAGTGGTAATGTAGTCCTCTCACCTTGACAAGACAAGAGTTGGTGTCGATCTGCTCTGCATCAACGGTGTGGACTAGAGGCTCCAGCATGGCCTTGTCTCGGATGAGTGAACGAGAAGAGAGAGGGAGTGGTGCGCGTGGGTCCTAAGGGGTGCATGAGGGTCCTTCTTTCCTCACCTTGACGAGGCAAGAGTTGGTGACGATCTGCTCTGCGTCTACGGTGTCGACCAGAGGCTCCAACATGGCCTTGTCTCGAATGCAGCTCATGTCAAACCCGTACACTGACTGCCAGACTGCAGTGCAAGGAGAGAAGGGGGGGGGGGGGGGGGGGGGGGAGGAGGGACACACACATACAGTGAGGGAAGGCTCTCATAATCTACCCTCCATCCATGGGCAACTATAGTCTCGTCTCAAATGCAGCTCATGTCAAACCCATACACTGACTGCCAGACTGGGGAGTGGGGAAATGGGAAGAAAGAATAGCACACACACACGTGGGTAAACAGGAGAAAGAAAAGGCACAGACTCACAGTGAACCTTCTCCTGCTTGTATTCTGCATCCAAGAAGGTAGCACACGGCCAGTGGCTCCCTACTTCCCCCCTCCTTCCTCTCGTGCACTCACAGTGGATCTTCTCCTGCTTGTACTCCGCATCCTCTATGGCAACCAGGTTCGACATAAGGGAGAGCACTCACAGAGACGTACCCCCACCTTCTCCCTCTCGTGCACTCACAGTGGATCTTCTCCTGCTTGTACTCCGCATCCTTTATGGCAACCACGTTCGACATAAGGGAGAGCACTCACAGAGACGTACCCCCACCTTCTCCCTCTCGTGCACTCACAGTGGATCTTCTCCTGCTTGTATTCTGCATCCAAGAAGGTAGCACACGGCCAGTGGCTCCCTACTTCCCCCCTCCTTCCTCTCGTGCACTCACAGTGGATCTTCTCCTGCTTGTACTCCGCATCCTCTATGGCAACCAGGTTCGACATAAGGGAGAGCACTCACAGAGACGTACCCCCACCTTCTCCCTCTCGTGCACTCACAGTGGATCTTCTCCTGCTTGTACTCCGCATCCTCTATGGCAACCAGGTTCGACATAAGGGAGAGCACTCACAGAGACGTACCCCCACCTTCTCCCTCTCGTGCACTCACAGTGGATCTTCTCCTGCTTGTACTCCGCATCCTCTATGGCAACCAGGTTCGACATAAGGGAGAGCACTCACAGAGACGTACCCCCACCTTCTCCCTCTCGTGCACTCACAGTGGATCTTCTCCTGCTTGTACTCCGCATCCTCTATGGCAACCAGGTTCGACATAAGGGAGAGCACTCACAGAGACGTACCCCCACCTTCTCCCTCTCGTGCACTCACAGTGGATCTTCTCCTGCTTGTACTCCGCATCCTCTATGGCAACCAGGTTCGACATAAGGGAGAGCACTCACAGAGACGTACCCCCACCTTCTCCCTCTCGTGCACTCACAGTGGATCTTCTCCTGCTTGTACTCCGCATCCTCTATGGCAACCAGGTTCGACATAAGGGAGAGCACTCACAGAGACGTACCCCCACCTTCTCCCTCTCGTGCACTCACAGTGGATCTTCTCCTGCTTGTACTCTGCATCCTCTATGGCAACCAGGTTCGACATAAGGGAGAGCACTCACAGAGACGTACCCTCACCTTCTCCCTCTCGTGCACTCACAGTGGATCTTCTCCTGCTTGTACTCCGCATCCTGTATGGCAACCAGGTTCGACATAAGGGAGAGCACTCACAGAGACGTACCCCCACCTTCTCCCTCTCGTGCACTCACAGTGGATCTTCTCCTGCTTGTACTCCGCATCCTCTATGGCAACCAGGTTCGACATAAGGGAGAGCACTCACAGAGACGTACCCCCACCTTCTCCCTCTCGTGCACTCACAGTGGATCTTCTCCTGCTTGTACTCCGCATCCTCTATGGCAACCAGGTTCGACATAAGGGAGAGCACTCACAGAGACGTACCCCCACCTTCTCCCTCTCGTGCACTCACAGTGGATCTTCTCCTGCTTGTACTCCGCATCCTCTATGGCAACCAGGTTCGACATAAGGGAGAGCACTCACAGAGACGTACCCCCATCTTCTCCCTCTCGTGCACTCACAGTGGATCTTCTCCTGATTGTACTCTGCATCCTTTATGGCAACCAGGTTCGACATAAGGGAGAGCACTCACAGAGACGTACCCCCACCTTCTCCCTCTCGTGCACTCACAGTGGATCTTCTCCTGCTTGTACTCCGCATCCTCTATGGCAACCAGGTTCGACATAAGGGAGAGCACTCACAGAGACGTACCCCCACCTTCTCCCTCTCGTGCACTCACAGTGGATCTTCTCCTGCTTGTACTCCGCATCCTCTATGGCCATCAGGTACAGCACGATGGGGAGCAGCCAAAACACGGCCAGTGGTTCCCCTCTCTAACCGCCCCTCCCCCCCATCCTCCCTTTTCTCCACTCACAGTGAATCTTCTCCTGCTTGTACTCTGCATCCTCTATCGCCATCAGGTACAGCGAGCAGTGGTCTGGCAGCACTATGCCGCCGTTTGCCTGCATACATGCACGCACAGGAGAAACAAGGTGGGAGTGGGATATAAGGGGATGTAAGGGGATGAGAAACGGCACAGCACCAGGTACAGCGAGCAGTGGTCTGGTAGCACTATGCCTCCATCCGCCTCACACATGCAAGCAGCACAGAGCACATGAGACAGAGTGCACAGGGATGCATGGGATATGCATAATGAGCACCACAGCATGCGGCAACGGTACAGTACATCGAACCAGTGCATATGGTAATGTGGTTATCCTAATACGCCCCACACTCGCCAGCACTTGTTTCCCTCCGGCGAACAGCACTGTGTCGAGCAAGGATTTGTACAGCAGAAAGTAGCCATCCACTCTGACACGACTGATAAATGCCAACCTTAAGAATCGAACCCACGACCTCCTGTATAATAATACAGCTATTACGTTCCAGCCACTTGCCTCTGGTGAAGAGCACAGTATTAAGCATAGGTTCATAGAGCAGTAAGTAGCGCATCCGCTCCCATGTGGTAACCAGGTTACACTCACCAGCCATTTGTCTCTGGCGAACAGCACAGTATCGAGCATGGACTCGTAGAGGAGGAAGTAGCCCATCCACTCCGATATAATCACATCCACCTTCTCCCCTTCTGGCAACTCTACGTCCTCCACCTTCCCCTTGATCACCGTGATAACTGCGAAAGGAGGGAGGGGCGGGCGTTGCGAGAGAGGCAGAGGGGGGTGCGGAGGGTTGTGAAGGGGTCTGGAGGGGTACTGACTACACCTTCTCCCCTTCTGGCAAGTACACGTCCTCGACCTTCCATTCCATCCCCGTCATTATTACGAGAGGGGGAAAATGGGGGGAGATGGGGGGCGGGGGGGGAAAGGGGGGGAGAAGAGAGACAAGGGCTGGGCGAATGTAGGGGGGCCCGAAACCCTGAACCCTTAAACCGTGACTTTTGAGATGTCTCAATGTCTCACGGCTCAAGAACCCAACCCCTGAACCCTGGATGACTGACATGGGCCTCCTGTAACGCAAAAGAACGAGTTGACTCACTGTGGTCCATGTGATTGGCTGCCACGATTTCGCGCGCGCACTCGGCAATCTCTGAGCACTCCATCTGCATGGCACGGCATTTCACATAAGTCAAATGTTGACACCGTTTTTCAGCATCCGTGGCTTCACACTTGGCAGTCTCTGAGCACCTAATTCGTATGGAACGGGTTTAAGATCGGATATTCGACACCAAATGTTTTAACAACGCTCTACAGGAATTTCCTTACAGCATAACGGCTCTTACCGCGTACACCTTCTTGGCTCCCGCCTTGGCAGCAAAGAGGGACAAAATCCCCGTGCCAGCACCCACGTCCATGACAACCTTGTCCTTGAACAGAAACGTGCTGCCGCAGATCGCGGCCTCGTACGTCTTAGTGCGCACCGCGTCTTTCAGCATCTCCTCGTGGATGCCTGCGCGGCGCAGGGAAATTACGGAGAGGGATGAAAAAGGTGGGTCGTGGATGAGCGGGGGTTTGGACAGAGCACCAACGGGTCTTGCGCTGAAGGGCACCTCAGCTCCGCCTCCTCTCTCGACGCGCCTAGTCGTTTCGAAAGCCAGAAAGCACTCCCGAACCGTGAAACGTATGGAGTGGGAAAATTACATCCCCATTATCTATATCCACGAAGCGGGCGAACGGCAAATGCGCTGCAAGATTACGAGCTCGCGACGCTAGGAGAGAACAACTAGGCGGCGAAAAGAAGAGGAAGAGGGTATGATAGAAAGCGGGAAAGTACCGAAGTGGGCGTACGAGTCGAAGTAATAATCGGCGCTCGTCAGGTCTTTATTCCCCGACGACGCTCCTCCGCCTCCCGCGCTGCTCTCCGGCGCTTCCGTCCCCGCTTGCGCTTCATGCGCCGCCCCGCTAGTTTCCATCGGCTCTGCCGCGGGCTGCTGCTCCGCCTCCTCTCCCCCCGTCAATTGCGCCGCTTCCGCAGCCTCAGATTGCCCCGGCTGTTTCTGCTGCTGCTGCCGCTTCTTGCGCCTTTGCTGATTACCTGAAGTCATGGCTACGACCTTATTGGTAGCTCGAAAGGATGAATTATCACGGAGAGAGTATGTGGGGCGCGAAGGCTTGTGCAGGTAAAATGACGGGTTTATGAACGAGCTAGGTATAAGAGCAATATTCATGGTTTTGTAGACTCGCAGTGAAAAAAGGAGTGAGGAGGGTTTTGAGGGTTTAGTTGGATTTCGGAAGGCTGGATTTCGGAATCGCGATTTGAAGCGTTATTGTGTGCTCCGATGTTTCGCTGAGAGACTGAGTGAATTGTCCTAGTTACCGAAATCAACTCTCAATTTCGGGCAGCAGCTTCCCAAGCTGAGCCCTTCAAATGGATTACAAGTCCTGTCTTAAATCCGGATGGAGGTACGCTATCTGGTTTTGTTCTTCGCCAATGTCTAGACATCCTATATACATTATTGTTATGTGTGTCTTCAGCTCTCGAGGACTTTGTATTCAGATCGTATACTCCAGGATGTAAGATCTGCCTTTGTTGATATCGAGTTACAGGAGAGCTGTTACGTTTAGAGAGTGCATCAATAACGAATCATGACAGGAGCAGCAAATTTCGAGTCATTGCGACTTCGCCTGTCAGAAAGCTTGGCGGTGATTTCGAGAGGGAAGATTATTGCCGTCCTTCACGCACAGAATACCTATTTGTAGAACAAGAATTACGCGTGCGTTATCCGAATGAATTCTCTGTCATCTTTTTGCAGCCTAGCTATTCTGTCGAATCCGGTGTAAAGCTAACGGACCTATTCAGTATGCCCTTCATCATGTTATTAGTGGTTCTTAGTGTTGCTCGTTAGATTCTCACTTGCCATTGCGTCGATTCACATGTGACCTTGATTGCGAGATTAAAATCTGTAAGACGCCTGTGGAATCCGCGAAAATGGCTAGTACTGAGGCCGTCAATACCGAGGCGAACCCGTCGTTCCACCATGACGTCACGCCTGCTCACGAACCCGAATCCGCGTCTGACATCTGTCGCTTGCCGTTCGAGGTACAGCATTTTGTGCGCTCACTCGAATTAAATGTACCTTACCGTATGCGAATTCGACGTCTATTGTGCATCTTGATTGTCAGGCCGATTAGGCCGATTAAGCTTCAAGTGGACACTGACTCGTTCTTAACACTTTTTGAATGATACCACGCCGTTTGATTTCATGCTGTTCTGTCCATCCAACGGCTCCCCTCTCTGCAGCTGTTGCCTCGTGTTTTGGCCCATCTGCCATTGGCTGACAGGGCGCATGCCGCCATGTCATGCTCCCCCATGCGCCATGCTGTCAACAGGTGAGATAAGTGCCACGCTGGCTGGCAACATGTGAGGTGAATGCCATGCTGGCACCAGCTAAGGTAAGTGCCACGCTGGCAACAGGATGCTACTTGCCATGTCAACCGTCCACCTTAACGCTTCAATCTCCAGCAGAGCTTGCTATAAGTGTCTTTTCTCGCTCCGTTTCCCCATCAGCCCGTCAACCTAAATCTGACAGCACTCTGATATTTGACTTTCCATGTAGCACCCAGTCTGCTCCCTACCCTGGGTCTTCTGCGTCTCAGTATCCATGCCTCCCCTCCCTATTTTCCCCTCTTTTCCCCTCCCTCCCAGCCTGCTCCCTCCCCTGCCCTACCCTACCCTATTTCAACGACTCTGCATTCACCGCGTTCTGCTCCTCTCTTTCCTCCCTCCATTTTCCCTTCCCTCCTCCATTCCAGTCTGCTCCCTACCTTGCCCTTTCTCGATCTCAAGGACGGGAGCCCCTGTCTCAACGATGCTGAATTTTCTGCGCTCTTTCCCTCTCTCCCCTCTTTCTCTTTTCCACATCCTCTCCTTTCGTCTCCCAGCCTGCTCCCTGCCTTGACGTTTCTCGACCTCAAGGCGGGAAGCCCCTGCCTGAATGACGCTGCATTCACTGCGCTCTGCAGCAGACTGGGAGCTGCTGGGATTGGGGATGCTAAGGAGCGTCGCGCGGGGGCGGGTGCTGGGATCGAGGAGGGTGGGGGAGGAGCGGAAGGCAAGGGGGGGATGGGAAAGAGAGGGGCGGGGAGGAAGAGGGGGAGGGCAGGGGAGGAGGAGAAGGAGGAAGGGCGTAGGGATGGGGGAAAGGATGAGGGTCAGAATCAGGATTGTGGTGGGGAGACCAGGGGTGTCAGAGGGAATACGGCTGGTGGGAGGCGGTGCTCCTTGCAGCGACTAGAGCTGGTGAGCAAATGCTATGTTTTTTGCCAATTAACAGCATACAAGCGAGCCCTTGCCTTTCAGACTTTACCAGAATCGCACCAGCCATGTAGCGTAGAGTGTGGTTTGAGACATCTCAAAAAACATACCAGCCATGTAATGTAGAGTGTGTTTTGAGACGTCTCAAATATTGTACCAGCCATGTAGAGTAGACTGTTTTTTTTTAGGCCTCTCAAAAGCCTATGCTTTCATGCTCTTCCCCTGTTGCCAGGACTGCTGCATACTACCGAATTGCATCAAGCAGCTGGCGCTGTGTGGTGCTGACAGGCACACTCATTATCATTCTCACGGTTTCCTTGTTGCTGCTCTTCGCGCCTCTCCCCCTGCTGCCAGGACTGCTGGCATCTGAGTGACAAGTGCACGTCCGTACTACCGGAGAGCATTGAGGAGTTGGCGCTGTGTGGCGCAGACAGGCACACAGACGCCCTCATTCATGGTTAGCTCATTTTACTGTGATTATCGCAGGCGTCCATTCTTGACTTATTTCTCACGAATATTCTTCCTTCTCATAACTCTGCTGGTTTTTTAAATCTGCCGACCCAGGCACCCTCATTTTCGTGCCTTTCCACATTCCCCTAGCCGTCACTCCCTCCCTCCCCAAGCCTAACGGACAGATCGGCCCAAACCTGACCAATTTCTTTGCTGGCTTCACCAGTCCACAGGATTCAAACTCCTTTGTCTCCTTGCTCTCTGTGTCTATCCTTTCCTCCCAGGCCTGGTGGCCAGGCTCGGCCCAAACCTTACCAAATTCGCCTTCTCCGGCTTCAGCCGGTCTATAGGCTCGGGCCCCTTTGTCTCGCTTCTCTCCGTGTCCTCTCGCCTCGTGTCTCTCGCCATCGATGGAGGGGAAGGGCTGGATGTGGATACTATCGTGATATTTGCTGGAAGGAACTGTCCCTTCCTGAAGGAGCTCAGTGTCTATGACATATCGATGGTGAGTTGGGACAAATTTCAGGTCTTGGTTCTAGTGTAGTTGAAGCGCATTTTTGCACATGTCCAGGTTGGCCTCGCATGCACGCACGCCTACTCGCCAAGTGTTGGACAATCGGAACATGTTGAGATCTATTACCAAGTATGGCTATAGTCAATGGCTTTAGGCAGTCAATCGCACGCCTGCAGTCTTTCCTCCAGTGCGTCGGTCGATTTCTTTAGGGGGGTTGGCAGGGGGTTGCACCCGCAAAAAAATGCATGTACGTACGAATGTATTACCCACAAAACCGTACATGTCATTTGAGCAGCAGCCAGTCCTAGAGAACATAGATAGGCTCTAATCAACAAATGAAGGAGGCTGTCACATCGTCCAGCATGATCCAGCATGACCTAGCTCAAAAGAGGACCTATAAGAGTCTATCTATGCTCTCTTTGACCGATTGCTGCTCAAATGGTCTGTACCGTCTTGTGGGTAATTTATTCATATGAGCTTTTTTTTGCTGGTGCAAGCCCCCTTGCGAATTCCAACTCCTTGGGATATGTTGACCGACGTACTGTAGAGAAGATTTCAGGCGACATGCTTTTGCTATCGACATTGATGAACATTGCTTAAATCTGCTGAGTTTAGTTCAACCTTACATATTGAAAAATCTCAACGGATACTGATTCTCCAACACTTGGCGTTTAGGCATGCGTACATGCGAGACCCACCTAGACATGTGCAAAAGGACGCTTTGTGTGGCTCTGGCTTCGTTAGCGAGGATACACTTTCCGATAGGTTGGGGGTTGACAAAAAAACAAGTTTTCTTGGCAAAGCCAGAGAATTTCGCACAATAGCACACGCGAGAGAAAACTACCGATGCGAACTGTACCAGCAACAAGTGATGGACCTTTGTTACGCTTGATTTGTACACATCCTTTCTTCGCAACACATCAAATACACCCCGTCTGTCCCCAGCTCCCCTCACACACCATAGAACGTTGATCTACATGTTCAGTTGTCCCCTGGCCCGCTTCACTCGCTTTCGGCACAAGACTTGGTGAGCGACACACTCTTCTTGATTGATTCGATACACCCCTCCCACCCCCACCCCAACCCCCACCCCTCTCTCTCCTCCGGTCCCCACCCAGGCGTCGCTGGTTTACCTGGCCAGTTGCCACCTGTCGCATCTCACCCGCTTCCGGCACAAGAGGCGGCATAGGGGCGTGGGGGTGAGCGACTCGCTTCTGCTACGGCTGATGCTGCTCTGGCCGCGGCTGGAGGAGCTGGTGCTGGTGGATAAGGCGGAGAGCGTGGGGCAAGGGAGAGCAGAGGAGGTGAGTCAGGCCACACGAGGGAGGTTGGGGGGTGGGTGAGTGATGTGATGCTGCTGTGGCCTGGGCTGGATGGAGGAGCTGGTGCTGGTGGATAAGGCAGCAGAGGGCGTGGGGCAAGGGAGAGGGCATGACGTGAGTCAGACTGGTTGGTTGTATAGGTGTCTCCTCATGCTAACCACCTGAGCTTCCTCTCTCACATCCCTCACACTCCCTCACCCTTCCCTGCTTACCCCTTTCCTGTCTCCAATCCCGCCTCTCCATATGCACTTTCGCATCCACCCACCCATCAGGCCCTCACAGACACCGTACTCTTAATGCTCACCGCCTGAGCTTCCTCCGTCACATCTCTCTCCCTGCACCCTCCTTCCCTTCCCTCCCTCCCCCCCTTCCTCCCTGCCTCATCAGGCCCTCACAGACACAGGTCTCCTCATGCTCACCGCCTGGGTTTCCTCCCTCGCATCTCTCAATCTGTACTCTCCTTCCCTTCCCTCCCTCCATCCTTCACCTCTCCTCCCAGCAGGCCCTTTCAGACACTGGTCTCCTCATGCTCACCGCCTGTGCTACTTCTCTCACATCCCTCTCCCTGCCCCCTCCCTTTCTTCCTCCCTGCCTCATCAGACCCTCACGGACACAGGTCTCCTCATGCTCACCGCCTGGGCTTCCTCCCTCACCTCTCTCACCCTCAGCCTGCCCTCCCTCTCTGCCTCGAAAAGCTGCTCTGAAGTGGCGCTCATGCAAGGTGAGAGCGGTTCAGTGTTGTGGTGTGCGGTTGAATGTGGTTGAATGGCCTAGGCCTGAGCTCACATCCCTCACTCTCAGCCTGCCCTCCCTCTCTGCCTCGAAAAGCTGCTCTGAAGTGGCGCTAATGCAAGGTAAGTGCAGCTTGGTGCGGTGGAGTGTGGTTGAATGAGATTCACCAGTTTGGGTTTGAGCTCACTCTCAGCCTGCCCTCCCTCTCTGCCTCAAAACATTGCTCTGAAGTGGTGCTGATGCAAGGTCAGCGCGGTTCAACTCAAAAGTGCCGCACAAAAGCAACGAATGCACACAACACATTTGTTAAGGCAACAAATGCACACAACACATTTGTTAAGGCTACGAATGCACACAACACATTTGTTAAGGCTACGAATGCACACAACACATTTGTTAAGGCTACGAATGCACACAACACATTTGTTAAGGCTACGAATGCACACAACACATTTGTTAAGGCTACGAATGCACACAACACATTTGTTAAGGCTACGAATGCACACAACACATTTGTTAAGGCTACGAATGCACACAACACATTTGTTAAGGCTACGAATGCACACAACACATTTGTTAAGGCTACGAATGCACACAACACATTTGTTAAGGCTACGAATGCACACAACACATTTGTTAAGGCTACGAATGCACACAACACATTTGTTAAGGCTACGAATGCACACAACACATTTGTTAAGGCTACGAATGCACACAACACATTTGTTAAGGCTACGAATGCACACAACACATTTGTTAAGGCTACGAATGCACACAACACATTTGTTAAGGCAACGAATGCACACAACACATTTGTTAAGGCTACGAATGCACACAACACATTTGTTAAGGCTACGAATGCACACAACACATTTGTTAACGGCACAAAGGCTACAAAGTGGGTGCCATTAGACCTCGCTCCATCAATGTTGCCCTCTGGTTGGAACCCCAGGTTGTTCTTTGTTTCTTCCTAGTCGATTTTCAAATAAGAGGATTTCCCCCTTTTCTCCCCCCCTCCCTCCAATCCAAACTCCCTTCCCCACCCCAGTGGCCAGTGCGTGCACCAGTCTCACCCATCTGGACCTCTCCAACTTCAGATGCATGTCCGACCCGCCTCTGCACGAGTTTGAGTTTGTGAATCAAGTGATTTCCCATCTCCCATCCCTTCGACCCCACACCCCAGTGGCCAGTGCGTGCACCAGTCTCACCCATCTGGACCTCTCCAACTTCAGATGCATGTCCGACCCGCCTCTGCACGAGTTTATTTCTGTGAGTCGCTCGGATGAACCTTCCACTTGTTCTTATATTGACTCAAACGATTGTTCAACATAACAATCTGTGAGAATGCTCGATCAACAGTAGGGATGCTTCTGGCAGCACGAGTGTGCTTTCATTTTCTCTTTGGGTCCACCCTTCCTCCTTCTCTCATCCCCAGCACTCCCCCTTTCTCGCCCATCCCTCCTTTGCCGCTGCACCCATCATCAATCAATGCCTCCTTGGCCCGTCGTTCGTAAACTCTCAGTAGGCTTGCTGCAGCTCAAATCCGAATAATTTTAACCATGATCAATGCCTTGAACCTCAAGGAGGGCACAGCCACTTTCCCCATCACCGATGCCTCCTTGGACGTCATAGCCTCTCTCTCACTGCCCCTCATGTTGCTCTCTCCTTATCTCTCCTTTTCAACCCCTCCCTCCCGCCTTCCCTTCCCAGCGCTGCCCCTCACTCGCCCATCTCTCTCTAGCTGGTGCGCCCATCACCGATGCCTGCTTGGACCCTATAGCCTCGCACTCCCCCTTTAAGCTCTCCTACTCTCTCCTGCACCCACTTCCTCATTCTCCTCCCTTCCCAGCGCTGCCCCTCACTCGCCCATTTCTCTCTAGCCGGTGCACCCATCACCAGTGCCTCTTTGCACCTCATAGCCTAGCACTTCCCCCTTTGCGCTCCTGTTGTTCCTCTTATCCCATTCCCCACTGTCAGCGCTGCCCCGCGCTCGCCCATCTCTCCCTAGCTGGTGCGCCCATCACCGATGCCTCCTTGGACCTGATAGCCTCGCACTGCCCCAACCTCCAATCTCTTTCCATCAAGTGCTGTCGCAAGGTGAGTTCAGTTCAGGTCCACCCCATTCGCCTCTGACCACCCCCAACCGCCTCTCACCGCCTCTCACCGCCTCTCACCGCCTCTCGCTACTTGAACAAGTGGCCAAGACCCTAATCATCTGTTCATTCCTCCTTTCGCCTCTCCTGCTGCTTCCCCTAGCTGCTTGAGCCAGGTGTCAGCGCATTGGCTTGCTGCACTTGGCTGCAATCACTCAATGCTGCTCTGGTGCCTGGAGTGACAGTCAGACATCTCTCCGCTGCTCCATTCCTCCTTTCTCCTCCTCTCTTCTTGCTGTTGTTGCCGTTACCCCCAGCTGCTCGAGCCAGGTGTCAGCGCATTGGCTCGCTGCACTCGGCTGCAATCACTCAACGCTGCTCTGGTGCCGGGGGTAACTGAAGTCTCCGCTCTGCTGCTGTTTCAAGGCAGCCACGGCACTGAAGACACTGGTGAGAGAAACGGCACCCGGGTGAGAGGAATGTATGTCACTGGTTAAAGGTGTGACTCCTTTGGCGCCCTCATGTCAGTGCCTGGGGTGTCAGACGTCTCTGCTCCTTTGGCGCCCTCCAGTCGGTGCCTGGGGTGTCAGACGTCTCTGCTCCTTTGGCGCCCTCCTGTTCCAAGGAGCCATGGCACTGAAGGAAGACACTGGTGAGAGAAACATTATAATTTCGGTGGAAGAAGCAACTTTTGAGCCATAGCTATTGTCACTCTCTATTGCCACTTTCTCTCCTCATCTTTCCCTCGTCCCATCCGATGCTCAACCAGAGCACACTACCAGATGCCGCGTTATTATCTCTCTCCTTATAGCCATTCTCCATTGTCACTTTTTATTGCCTCTCCTCCCTCTTGTCTTATCAGGTGCTGAACCAGAGCCCGCTACCAGACGTCTCGTTATTGTCACTCTCCTCTCATTGTCACGGCCTGGAGGAGCTGGCATTGCATGGCTGCCCCAGGCTCAACAATGAAGTATGATACCTTCGGAAGGGGAAGGGGAGGGGAAGAGGAGGATGGGGGTGGGGGGAAGGAGGAGTGCAAAATGTGTGGGGAGGGGATGGGGGGACCATGCTTGTTGTTACTCTCTTCTCATTGTCACTCTCTTCTCATTGTCACTCTCTTCTCATTGTCACTCTCTTCTCATTGTCACTCTCTTCTCATTGTCACTCTCTTCTCATTGTCACTCTCTTCTCATTGTCACTCTCTTCTCATTGTCACTCTCTTCTCATTGTCACTCTCTTCTCATTGTCACTCTCTTCTCATTGTCACTCTCTTCTCATTGTCACTCTCTTCTCATTGTCACTCTCTTCTCATTGTCACTCTCTTCTCATTGTCACTCTCTTCTCATTGTCACGGCCTGGAGGAGCTAGCACTGCACGGCTGGCTGACCCAGGCCCACAATGAGGTGGGAAGACACAGAGGGTTGTCAAAGGGGGCAAGGGAAGTCCTTTATGAATGGGTAAATGGCGCAGGCGTGAGAGGGTTGCAAGGTAGGATTGGCTTACTGCTCAGAAGCAGGTTGTAGCACCAGATTTTCGTTCCACTCTAGTTTTGAGGCGCCTCAAAACGTGAGAGGGTTGCGAGGTAGCACCAGATTCCGTTCCACTCTATCCCACATAGAAGGCTGCTCAGAAGCAGCTTACTGCTCCCTAACTCTGTCATCTTCACGTTCCTCTCCCTCCTCTCCTAACCCTTGCTTTACTGCTTTCTGCCCACCCCATCTCCCCCACCCTCCTACCCCCTCCAGGGTTTGAAAGCTCTTGCCGCCTCTTGCCTTGCCCTCCGCTATCTCTCCCTAAGCTTCTGCGATCAAGTCTCGGATGCCGGAATCATATCCATCGCCAACAGATGCCGCCACCTTATCAAGATCCGATTGGACGGCTGCCGCCAGCTGTCCAATCCCTGCGTCAGGGCTCTTTGCCGCCCAGCCTGGGCCCAGCAGGTTCGGCCGGAGCAGAATCAGGTCCGGGGGTCAGGTCCGGGTGCCAGTGGCGAGGAGGTTATTCGTCTGCCCGGGGAGTATGCAGCTGCTCGTTTGCGCTACTTGAGCATGCAGAGCTGCCCGAAAATCTCGGATGATATTTTCGACCACCTATTGGCTGCCCCTGCGCTGAGATTTGTTGACGTCGCCCGGGCAAGGTTGACCGAGTGGGCTATTCATTCCTTTCACAGCCGTCGACCAGAGGTGGAGCTATGCATTAGCGGAGTACCATATACTCCACCTGTAGATTATTAACTATTCTATAAGCTCTTATGGTTTGTATTTGTTATTCTGTTCAGCACATGGATCATCAGTAGACTCACCGCGCCACGTTATTTCCAGCAGGGAAACAATTCGTCGAGAGACACGCGGCAGCAATCCAAACCCGTTGATGTAACCCAGTCTGTCGCCGTCGCTTCAAAGCAATCTGATTAGGCTGTCTTGTGCAACAAGATGGACTTAGGACGCGGCACCTCTAGCAGTTGTTCAGGATCGATCGCAGGATCGCTGATCAAACCGCACTGAAATCCTCTGAAAGCATTTCATTTGCCCAGCACCGTTTTGAAATCCGCAATAATCGAACCTGCGCAGGATCGATCGCACTGTTTAGGGCGTGTAACATCGCAGCGAACAACTTACAAACCGTCGGTTTCTGCGAGGATTACATTTCGCTCTGTTCGCCATCGCAAATCGAGCAAATCGACCAGCCTTCCGCACCTTCCAGTATGCCACTGTGTACACCAACTTTGTCGACCATCGCGTCGCACAGGTGCGTAACGGACGTGCACGAGAAGGGTCGCGATACAATGCCGATTGGAACCGTGAAACCGTGCAACTCAGAATTTGTGACTCGTTTTTTTTTTTTTTTTTTTTTTTTTTTTTTTTTTTTTTTCATTATGTATATATCAGAATACACCGATGCGGCAAGCGTATAAGCGATATATTTCAGTCGTAACTGAGCGCGAGAGGCCAGCCCTCGGCGGTGGCCCCAGGTGAGGTTACTAAGGCGGATGCAAAGCCCCCCTTGCCAGGCTCCAAAGCGCGCCAAAACTGTGCGTCCACTTCCATCCCTTTGCCGTTGGACAACGGATGCGATCCAGTAAGCTGGCCTACTGTCCTGCCAGCACATGTGAATTGGTACGTCTCTTCCAACCGCCGCATTATCCGAGCTTCTTCCCCATGGCACGCGTCTACACCCTCACATGCAAACGAAAAGCTGCCACAATGCGCCTGAGGACGCGTCGAGCCCGAAATCTCTTCCCCCGAAACACACAGTGACACCGCTCCGCCCAGATCTGATGAATGGCGATAGCGGAAAGAGAGGCCTCCGGAAACGCCGAGGCAGAGGCTGCTTTCCCGAACAGCAAGTCCCCCAGATCCGACACATGCCTCGCTGGGTTCAATACACGCGGGGCCCTCTTGACCGCCCCCACCACTTGCTGAATGCGCGGGCAGCTGAAAAGGCAGTGTTCCACAGTTTCGAAAACCCCACAGTGTGGGCACACCGGTTTGTTGCTTAAGAAAGAGAGCCTCTCCCCCACTTGCAGATTAAGACTGTGAATCCTAAGCAGCACATCCTGAGGTCTGTTCGGCGTCACCAGTGAGTCCCGGATCTTAATCACTTTCTTCCAGTCAATGACACCAGCCCATCTGCTCGCCCAAAGCTCCCTCTTGGCAGTCTGATGCCCCTGCTTCGTCGAACAACCCTTCAACTCCTTCAGCGACACCACCTGCCCATCCTTGAACAGTGTTGATTTCAGAAAACGGTGAGTTGTAGACGGAGATGACTACTGCGGTAGCTCGGCAGACAGAAGGCCCTCCTTCCAGATCTGCGGCACAGCCTCCCAGGCCCGAAGAACCAGCTTCGCTTGTTTAGAGCCCCCTAGCTCCCGTGCTAGGGTTTTTGCGTCCTTGACTTCTAACCCCCCCGCGCCGTTCGGTAGCAGCAGGTCGCCCAGCCGGAGCTCCCACTGCTTCGCCGCAGCCTTCTGGGCCCCTACTGGTGTCTTGCCGTTGAGCAAGATGTTGCGATTTAACACAATCCGTTCCGCTTCAATTTCCTCCCTCGTCAGGTCCGGTGGCGACTCTGCCAGCGGCGACTGCATGAAGCTCCCGCAAGCCAGCTTCCACCTCTCGCTTTTCCCACGCCAACACTTCAAGAGCTTCACATGAGCAACGAAAGTATCCGTCCCCAGCGGCAGGTCAGCCGCATCCAGCATTATCTCACGCTTCAGCTCGCACGTCTCCGTGAGCAACAGCCCGATGCGTCTGGCCGCGAGACAGGTGAGCTCAATATCTGGGTCACGCACCCCCACACCACCGTCTCCTCTTGCCATATACAAAAGCTCCCGACTCCACAGTATGAATTTCTTGTCCGTGACCGCATGGTTGCCTGATACGAAGTTGTGCGCCAGCTTTAAGATTCTCCCCCAAATGTCCACCGGCGGCGGATACACCTGCGCCTGGAAGAAAATGATCGGTGAGATGTAGCAGTTGATTACTGCTACTCTGGCGCCCGTCGTGAGGTGCTGCGTCTCCCATTGACCCAGCTTTTCCTTGATTCGCACGAAAGCTTTTTCCCAGGTGGGGGTACAGCTGCCAGCCGGCGTCACCCATACTCCCAGGAGTCTCTCCACTTCATCGGCCTTTACCCACTTGAAGCCATCCGTCTTACAGGCCTGCTTGTTCAGGTTTCGCCCCAGAGGTAGAACAGATGACTTCTCCTTATTTGTTGCCAGTCCCTACTCCGCCTCGAAATCCGTTGACAGCCGTTCCGCTTCCTCAATCTGCTCCTCCCCTTGCAGGATCAGGGTCGTATCGTCGGCGTAGCCTAGATACGCCAGCCGCCGACTCCCCCCTTCAAGGCCAAGGTTCCTGGCCGCCGCCTTCTGAGCCAGTGGTTCCACCGCGCACAGAAAAAGGTACGGTGCGAGCGGGCAGCCCTGCCGCACCCCGGACACCACATCAACCGCTTCCCCCATCCAGCCGTTAATTAGCAAGCTGGTCCGTGTGTCCTTGTGCAGGCCTCGAACCCAGTCCACAAAGAGGGACGGAAAGCCCATCCGCTCAAGCACCGTGAACAGGAAACCCCGTGATACGGAGTCGAAGGCCTTCATGAAGTCCACCAGCAGAAGGTACCAATCACGATCCTTGTTCTTTGCGGCCTCGATGACATCTGCGACCAGGCCCACTGCCTCCGATAACTTCCTGCCAGGCAAGAAACCGTACTGCTCCGGGGAAATGACCTCGTGCAGCACCTTCTTCATCCTGTCCGCTACCACCCGCGCAATCACTTTGTAGGTGAAGCTTAGAAGCGTGATCGGTCTGTAATTTTCCAGCTGATCTCTCCCCCCTTTCTTGTGTAACAGGATGGTGACCGCGTCCTTCGTGCTCGTCGGCAGTGTCGCAGTAGCCGCGAAATTTCGTGCAAGCTGCATGAAATGCTTGCCCAGGATGTCCCAGTGAAGCTCGAATAGCTCATTCGGCAACCCATCCTTCCCGGGAGCCTTGTCATTCGCCATCGAATGGAAGGCACTTTTCACCTCCTCCTCCGACCAGGCCGTGCACACCGCTTCTGCCGACTGCTGCGGGAAAAACCCAGGAGCAGGCGACCAAGCGGACCCAGCCTGCTGTCTGTCACGTCCAAACAGCTCCCTGTAGTACTGTGACGCTGCTCCCAAAATAGCACCATTGTCATTCACCAGCGTCCCACATGCGTTCAACTCAGTAATCTGCGTCCGTCCTTTTCTGGCCTTGATTTTTGCCGACAGGTGCGGGGAGGCCACTTCGCCCATGACCTCCTCCCTCATTCCTGCCATTTCGTGTAACCTCTCCTGCCGAGCCAACTGATACGCCTTCAACTGCGCCTCTTTGTCATCCAGCAAGCTTTTTAACCGAGCACACCCCGGGTCACCCAGCCACGCCTGCTTCAGCTCCGCAACCGACCGATGAAGGTGGGACATCGTGGCCCGAACCCTCTTCCGCTCCTCTTTCGCGTACGCTCGTAGTGCGGTGTTGAGGCGAGAGATTAGCAGCTCAAAATCCTCCCCGCACGAGTCTGCCTGCCGTTCCACAGCTTCAATCACCTTCCTGACACCCGGTCTGTCCAACATGTATGCAGGCATCCTCCAAAGCCCAGGGCCCAACTGCACCCGCGTGTTCATCCCGAAAGCCGCCTTCACTGCAAAACTGTGATCAGAGATGGGATCCGCCGGCATGATGTGCGAGACGAACCCGACGTGCGCCAGCAACGATTGCGAGATAAGTGCCCTGTCTATATGCGAACTAGATTGATGCAGGAGTAGAAGGTGAAATCTCGTTTATGTGGATGCAGTACTCGAAAAGCATCTAAGAGGCGGAAGGCGTCACACCGACGGTACAGCTCCTCGTTCTCCTTGGTAGTCCCTTTCCTCGATGTCCGATCTAGCAACGGGTCCTCTACCAGGTTGAAATCCCCCATGATGAGCAGGTGAGAGCCTGGCTGCACCGTGTCAACCACCGGGCCCAACACTCTGCGAATGAACCCCCTACGCTCGGCAGCATCGGCCGGGAAGTAAACTGCAACCAAGGTGATGTGGAAGGTGTCAAGATGGAGCTCAGCCGCTACTAGCCGGCCGGATGGATGAATGAGGGTGTTGTGCAGTGACAATCCGTGCCTCCGACAGATCAGAGCAACCCTACCAGCCTTAGCAGTGGGTGAGGCGACCAGGATCTGCGGCTGCCGGAGTGAAGTCCAGTAAGGGTGGTCATCAGTGAGTCTAGAATTAGATAGTACTACGATGTCCACTGCTTGCTTCAACCAGTTTTTTGTTCACTGTTGCTTATTCCCATCCCCCAGGCCGTTGACGTTCAGGCCTGCAAATGAAAGAAGGCTTTTCGTATTCATTTGACCACTGGTGTGAGGCCCCATCGCATCCACGGGCAGGTACAACCAGGTACAACTACGCAACCAAGGGAAAACGCCACCACTACACAACGCTGCATCCGACATGCCGGTAAGCAGTTCAAATCTGGTACTCCTTTCGGATGACATGCAGACCAAGCTTCTCCAGGGAGCTTCGGGTGGCCGCACCCAACTTCTCCAAGCCCAGCAGATGGCTTGCCGATGTGATGTGATCCGCTGCAGCCATGAAGAACTTGCCATGAGTCTTTCCGCAGCTCTCGAGAGTACACAACCATTCCTCCCGATTGCTCCCAGTGGAGATCAGCACAAAAGCCGCATCCAGCAGTAACGGAGTGATAAGCGGGGAAGCGCGGAGAGAGGCAGCTGCGAGGGGAGAGCGACGCATCAGTGACTGACAAGATATGAAAGGTAAAGCGACAACCCAACAAACGTAAGCAGCAATTACCATTGATCCTATGGACCCGACCCACAGTTAAACTCCACTTCCCTATGTTATTCTGACGCTTTGTGATGAAAACATTATGAAACTTGTCATAATGGTGACCACCATAGAGCGGACAGGATAGCAACGGGTAGTGGGCCAACAGCGTCGTCCCTCCCAGCAGCTGATGACGGAACTCATGGCGCCAGCGATGCTTGTCACCGGCGTGCTGAACCACCAGCCCCTTGATCCGATCATGTGTCAGCGCCGGTGACAGTGTGAAGGACACGATGGAAGCAGTGACCTTCAGCAAAAGCAGACTGCTTGCGCATCCTGAGCGGGTGAGTAACCATGACCTCCTTGACCAGCTCCGGCGGGATATCCGCGGGAACATCCTTAAAATAGACTTCCAACAGCTGAGGGCTTGAAGCCTTCTTGCGAAGGTAAGCGGCATCCTCCTGGTGCAGCCAGAAGCAATGCATTGTCGTCCCGTTCTTACGCTTGTGTTCCACCGCCGTCTGTTTGATTTTCACCGCGTCAGACTCATGCAGGAAGGAGACCTGAAGGCGGCTGTAGCGGGTCTTCGCGACCCACGCGGGGGTCAGCTCATGGAACTTCACCGAAGCGAGGACGTCGTCAGTGAGCAGGTTAGACCAGACACACTTCATCAACATCCTCACAGTCAGAATCACCGAGGCAACTTCGCGAGAAGGAATAACCGGGAAAAGCAAAATCGCCGTGAAACGCAAATGCGGGTGAGCACTCTTGGTCGTGCCGATTTCCAACTCCTCGTCTGAATCATCCTCAATAAAAGTGTCCTCCGAAACTACCGTAGCCAGCGCTTGCAGCTTTTCCTCAATGGAGAGACCGGAGCATCCAGCCGTCACCTCCGCTTCAGACGGAAGGTTGTCAATAACCTCCTTCCCCTTGCCTGGTGACGACTTGCTTGCAGGATCGCCACCACCAGCAGGAGCGTCAACCACCGCCTTAGCGCGGGAGCCTTTCGGAGGCATCGTGCAACGATGACAATAGACTGGCTGAAGCCTTGAAGAAACGAGCTGAAGAAACTGATAAGCCAGATGTCTGAGCACAGTGTTAAGTACGTGTGAATCTCCCGTGGAAAACCATTTCTCCTGACAGAGGTGCTGAGACGCTGAAGATAAAACTTCGGGGTCACCTCGTTGCACAGCATCTGCGTAACCAATGGATGTTAGCTTAGGTGGTTCCTTGATGTCATCCCGTTGCCTAGAGAACCACGCGTTAGCCTTGAGCTTAGAAACTTGGACCAGCGTAGGACACCCTTGAGAAGTCCGCGCAATGTTCGTTTGTTGAACACAAAAAAGGTATAGACTTCTTCGTAAAGGTGTAGCGAAGTCAAAGCCGGAGAAATTAAAGCCAGCTGATAATCGGGCTTCACGCAATGTGAGTTCCAGGCAAGCAGTGCGTCGCCATGGCGGCGAGCTCGAGGTTGTCATTGTCATCACTGCTTATTATTGTCATTGTGACTCGTATTGGCCTGCGCGAACTCACGCGAGTTTTCGCGTGCCGACGAATATCCTTCGTCCAAATCGATTCCACCAATCCGACTCAATTCGTGTGTCGTTACACCTGATTGTCGCACTCAACTCCGTTTCGTTGATGCATTGTCAGATTGCTCCAAATCAGCCACGTCTTTGTCTGGTCGCCCAACGGGGCGGTTAGGACGCGGCACCTGTTTGACCGACCCTGCGATCGATCCTGCGCAGGAGCGAATTTTTGCAGAGTTGAGAACTGTTTTGAAAGTGTTCAATGCTTTCAGAGGAATTCAGTGCGGTGCAATCAGCGACCCTGCGATCGATCCTGCAAAATGCAAACAGGTGCCGCGTCCTTAGGAGGTTGTAAATCCGTCGCCCCTCGCGAACACTTGCGAAGCTTATGGTCGACCTAAACAGTCGCTGACTGTTCGCTGTGATGTTACACGCCCTTAGGGTTACAACAACCCTCCAACTCCGCGTGACTGGGAATCAATCATTCCCTCATCCTCTCTACCTTTCACTTCACTCCTGGAAAGGAATTTCTCATATTTCAGTTTCCAGGCAGAAGCCGAAAGGCACATTTTTCATTGAACCCTATCAGCCAGCCAAACCCACAATCCGATCTTGAGCTTCGTGTTCCTGCACTTGGGAAGCCGACCTTTCGATCTCTCAATTCTTGGGGATCTTCTCACATTCGCTTTGAACAATGGCTCAAGCGACTTCCGTCGCGAGGCTGAACGTCGCCTGCGCTGCACCAGCAAATTCCAGCGCTGCTGCCAGGCCGCAGCGACAAGAGGCCGCGTCGCTCGTGGCATCATGGAGGAAGGCGCGCGTCGCCAGACCGGTGGTGCTCCGTGCCAGCGCGCAGGTGCAGGCCGCTCCCCGCGTGTCTGCACGCTCCGTAGCGGTGAAGGCATCAGCAGGCTCAGCTGACGAGGTAAATCAGTCGACTTTTGAGTCGACTCAAAAGTCACCTCCTTTGCACGTTCCGTAGCGGTGAAGGCATCAGCAGGCTCTGCTGACGAGGTAAATCAGTCGACTTTTGAGTCGACTCAAGAGTCACCTCCTTTGCACGTTCCGTAGCGGTGAAGGCATCAGCAGGCTCTGCTGACGAGGTAAATCAGTCTTGACTTGCCTTGACCTGCCCTGACCTGTCCTGACCAGTTCTGAGGTGCCCGCATTGCACGGGCCCGCCGCTTCGCAAACCAGTCTCCTTTGTTTCGATAGTAGATTTTTCATTGCGAACAAACGTCCTTTCTACATTCGTCGACCCGTCCAAGCCCCCAACGTCGTACCTAGTTAGACACTGAAACTCGTGTTCCGCCTGCAATCCTCTCACCACGTTAGCCTCGCATCGCTTCGCTTCGCGTCGCTTCGCTTCGTCTCCCACGGATACATACGCGTATCCCTCCGCGTCCCGCGTCCCGCGCGAGTGCATGCAGGCGGGCGTCAAGTACCACTTTGTCGTGGCGAACGCGACGTTCATGCTGGACGAGGAGGAGCACTTCCAGGAGCAGCTCAAGGAGCGGCTACGGTGGCTGGAGGAGAAAGGCACGGAGCAGAACTTCTGGCTCGTCTTCGAGCCCAAGTTCCTCGACGAGTTCCCCGAGATCGCCAAGCGCGTCAAGAGACCCGCCGTTGCTCTCGTCTCCACTGACGCTACCTGGATCACGTAAGCCGCCCCGCGCCGCGCCTCTCTTCTTCATCTCCCGTCTCCTCTCCTTTTTAGCGCCTGCCCTTCTCTCCTTTCTCCCTCGTTATTCTCTTCCTTTTCTCCAAGACTCCTTGATAAAAGTGTTGTTTTCATTCTCTTCCATTGACTCAAAGACGTCTCAAAACAACTCTTCCATTGACTCCAAGACGTCTCAAAACAACTCTTCCATTGACTCCAAGACGTCTCAAAACAACTCTTCCATTCCTCCAAGACTCCTCTTTTCCTCTTTCCGCTTTCCTCTCGTCCTCCCCTATCCTCTCGTCCTCTCCTCCTTTTCTATCCTCTCGTCCTCTCCTCCTTTCGTATCCTCACGTCCTCTCCTTTCATATCCTCTCGTCCTCTTCTCGTTTATCCTCTCGTCCTCTCTCCTCTTCTATCCTCTCGTCCTCTCCTCTCCTATCCTGTCGTCCTCTCCACTCTTCTCATGTCGTCCTCTCTCCTATCTTATCGTCCTCTCCTAATCTCTCGTCCTCTCGTCCTATCCTCCTCTCCCCTCGTCCTCTCCTCCTTTCGTATCCTCCCGTCCTCTCCTCCTTTCCTATCCTCCCGTCCTCTCCTCCTTTCCTATCCTCCCGTCCTCTCCTCCTTCCTGTCCTCCCGTCCTTCCCTCCTTTCCTATCCTCCCGTTCTCCCCTCCTTTCCTATCCTCCCGTGCTCCCCTCCTTCCCAATCCTCCCGTCCTCCCCTCCTTTCCTCTCCTCCCGTCCTCCCCTCCTTCCCTATCCTCCCGTCCTCCCCTCCTTTCCTATCCTCTCTCCGCTCCTGTCTTCTCGTCAAACTATCTTTCTCTTCCCCCATCATCTCTCCCTGCTTCCGTTCCGTCATTCGCGCGCTCGTCCTTAACCCGTGGGACATCTGGGTCCCGTAAACAACGGGATACATTTCGAATCGATTGCAACTGAGCCGCGATATAGGAACTGTACCCACTGAAGCAAAACGACTGTTTCTTGTGACATTGGAACAAATGTTGTTCCGTTACCTCAGCGGTTAAATGGGTGTCTCTCGGCCACTGTCGCTGCTGTAGATGCTTGCCTTGCCTCGCTTTACAAACATTTTCTACATCTTGGTTTTGTCTCTTTCCTCATTTATCATCTCCTTTTTTTTTTCTCCCTTGTTTCCTCCTTTCGTATTCCCATGCTCCCCCGTCATAATCCTGTGTCCTCGTTCCCTGAACTTTCCCTCCCTGCTCCCTCCCTGTCACCCATATGTGACTCAAATAAAAAACGGTTTGCTTTTCTTTCCGGAATCCACGACCGTATGGGTGTCATGTCAGGTTCATGAAGCTGCGTCTGGACCGCGTACTTAAGGGCGAGTTCGAGGCGAGCTCACAGGATGACGCATTGGAGGGCAAGCCCTTTGACATCTCCTTTCCCAAGCCCGCCAACTGGGTCGCGCCCTACCCTAAATACGAGCCCACCTGGTGGAAGCCCTATGCCCCAGCCAAGTATGCCAAGGCCAACTAGACGGGTTTGGGTTAGGGAGTGGCTGTGCTGTGCTGGGTTTGTTCTAGGGACGCGCTAGCGATGTGCTGTAAGTGACGTTGTCAGGCTTGACACATAGATTATTAACCATTATTTGATAAGCGCCCAATTAGTATTTTTTGTATTGGTGTATACTGGTTTCGTTCAGAATCTTAGGTTGCATCATGACGCCACGTTATCTCTGGCAGGAAGACAAACCATGGAGGGACACGCGGCATCAATCCAACCAGCTGACGTATTGCACTCGGACATGCGCACCTCATGAGACCCGAGTCTCACTTCCTTTAGTACTAGCTCACTTCTGGAGTTGTGTGGAAGGACGCTGCCCACAGTTCATGCATCAACCTTCAGAAAGGTGAGCAGTGGTTATAATGGTTCACGTAACACCCGGCCTAAATCGCACAGTACCGTACTTTACGGTGGTTCCCGAACACAAATTCATCCCTTTGAATGAGTGTCTTCGTCTTGGTTTTATGGGATTCAGCTTGAGTGTGATTTCTGAATTCAGCGTGAGTCTACAACGGGCGACTGCTTTGGACACAGGTTTCGGTTTCGTTCTTTAGCTGCAGGAACAGCTCGTAGCGCTAGTAATAAGCTTGCATCGTGTAAGGCTCAAAACCAGAAGACTTCGACAAGCCTCGATTCCAAGGCTTCAAACCTTCAAGCGTTTTTCATGGCAGCGTTATCTCTCTCCGCACCTCCTCGCAACGGCCTTGTCCCGTCCGGCAGAACTCCCGTTTCGAGATTTTCCGCTCAACCTGCTGCACGAAATGCCACATGGCTCAATCCTGTGTGGGTTCGCTGCAATCTGGACGGCAAGGACGGCAATTTTAGCAAGTCCAACGGCTCAGATGCTTCAGGTGACGTATCCGAGTTCCAGTCCCTCACACCTGACGTCAGACCTAAGGGCTCCATCCCGATTAACTCATCTCCCACCCGTCGCGGCGCCATCACGCTCATAGTAGCCACTAGCGCCGCACTTGGCGCCGCAGGACTCGGTCTGGGCTCTTACATGTTCTCTAGCCCCTCCGATCTTGCCGATTCCGTCAACATAACCGGCCCCAGCAGCACCATCGACCCGGCGTCGCTCTCTCCGAAGCAGCGGATCGCGCTGCGAGTAGGAAACGTGTCGCACACGGAGGCGGAGTGGCGGGAAGTCCTCTCGCCTGGTGAATATTACGTCCTTAGGGAGGCCGGCACGGAGCGCTCTTTTACCAGTGACCTGCTGTACGAGAAACGTCCCGGAACCTTCGTCTGCAGGGGATGCGGGTCGCCCCTCTTCAACTCGGAAACCAAATTCGAGAGCGGCACGGGCTGGCCGAGTTTTTTCGACGTGCTGCCCGGAGCTGTGGATCTGCTCCCTGATAGGTCGTTTTTGGGGTTTGACCGGACCGAAGTGCGGTGTTCCCAGTGCCAGGGGCATCTAGGGCATGTGTTTGAGGATGGGCCGGCGCCTACTGGTCTCCGTTACTGCATGAACGGCCTTGCTCTTGGGTTTCAGGCCAAGGATAATGGCAGTGTTGCGTAGGATTAAGTTACGAAGCTTCCATGTATGGTTTTTATGAGAGATTACAGCAATGGATAACTGTCAGCTTTTTCCCAGTTGTTATCTCTCAGGCAAAGAGCAGTGGGCGTATGTAAGCAGACAGGAGAGCTACTAGTCATCAGGGGTCCGACGTCCAGCAGAGCGAAGCAGGTACGTAATCAAAATAGCGAAGTAGAAAATGAAAAACTGCTGTCGAGAGTGGGATTTGAACCCACGCCCTTTCGGACTGGAACCTTAATCCAGCGCCTTAGACCAACTCGGCCATCTCGACACATTCAGTTTCGCCGTGAGAAATTTAGATTGATGTAAATGCAGCCATGGCTGACAAGATGCTTCTGCTGCGAGTGTACAACGTCACCAGCAGTTGCCGTGACACAGTAGAGTCGACTCACAACCCAGCTTGAGCCACACATTACCCTCACATTTATTCGTGCTCTTTTCGTCCAGCAATGGCGGACAAGAAGAAGGTACTACAGCACGTGTACGACGTCACCAACAGCCCCGATTTCAACTTGTGACATCGGCGAACTTTGGCGAACATAGACGATCTTAGGCGAACGTAGGCGAACTTAGAGTCGTTTCGTCCAGCCATGGCGGACAAGAAGAAGGTATTACTGCACGTGTACGACGTCACCAACAGCCCCGACCCGAACGTCAACAACACCGTGCTTCGCATCAACGGCGTCGCGCGAAGCACGCTGGGGATCGGAGGAATCTTTCACGGCGCCGTCGAGGTGAGCATTCGAGGTACTAGTAGCGAGAAGCGCGCTCGGGGTCGAAGGGTACACTAGATGCGCGCTCGGCGTCGCGCGGAGCACGCTGGGGATCGGACGAATCTTCCACGGCGCCGTCGAGGTGAGCTGCTAGAAGCGCGCGCGGAGTTGTGAGGGGTACTAGTGCAACGCTGATCTTCTCAGGGATGTCGTTTCAGCTGCGGTGTTTGCGCGTCGCTGGTCACACCTAATCAAAGCCATCGCCCTCCCTCCCCCTTCCCTTCCCACACCCCCTCCTCCTCCCCCACCCCCTCTCCCTCACCCCTACTTCGTTGTTTCCTCATGATGCGACAATGCATCTCATCTACCCTCCTCCCGTTCCCTCCTCACTTCTCCTCCTCAACTTCCTTCCTCTCCTCCCCTCCTCCATTTCCCTCCTCACTTTCCCTCCTTTTCCTTCCTCTCTTGCCCTCCTCCCTTTTCCTCCGCACTTCCTTACTCCTCTCTTTCACTCCTCTCTTCCCCTCCTCCATTTCCCTCCTCTCCTCCCCACCTCCCTTTCACTCCTCACTTCCCCTCCTCCCTTTTCCTGCTCTCTTTCCCTCCTCCCTTTTTCTCCTCTCTTTCCCTCCTCCCTTTCCCTCCGCACTTCCTTTCCCCTTTTTCCTCCTTTCTTTCCCTCCTCCATTTCCCTCCTCTCTTCCCTTCCTCCATTTCCCTCCTCTCTTCCCTTCCTGCCTATCCGTCCTCCCTTTCACGTCCATCCCGCCGTTCTTCCAGGTGTTCGGAGGCAGTTTACACGGGGGAGACGAAGCTCGGCAGTCTTCATCTGGTTCCCTTGTCCCTCGCTCATTTCAGGTGTTTGGAGAGGAATGGTCGTTTGTTTGGGTACTGCGAGCACAGGTCAGGCGTGGTCAGCTGCCGCCCCAAATCCAATCCAACCCTCCTAGGTTCTCGTCCATCCCGCCTTTCTTCCAGGTGTTTGGAGAGGAATGGTCGTTTGGGTACTGCGAGCACAGGTCAGGCGTGTTCAGCTGCCGCCCGAAATCCAATCCAACCCTCCTAGGTTCTCGTCCATCCCGCCTTTCTTTCAGGTGTTTGGAGAGGAGTGGTCGTTCGGATACTGCGAGCGCGGCTCAGGCGTGTTCAGCTGCCGCCCGAAATCCAACCCCTACTACACTTATCGAGAAACAGTGGACATGGGGGAAACGAAGCTGAGTGCAAAACGAGCGGGGCAGATCATAGCTGAGATGAGCGTGCAGTGGCCTGGGGTGTCGTACGACATGCTCGGGCGAAACTGTAACCACTTCTGCGATGAGCTTTGTGTCAAACTGGGCGTCGGCCCCATCCCAGGTGGGTGTTCTGGACTCGTTACAAGCAAATGCACATACAAAACATTCCTGGTAGATTCTGAACTGTAACTGTAACCACTTGTGCGACGAGCTCTGTGTTAAACTGGGCGTCGGGCCCATTCCAGGTGGGTGGGTGCATGTAGACATGTGTAGCATGCTTACATTACCCTCTCCTCTCCGTTCTGCGTCTGCATTACCGGTAAGGCGACTCAAGGCCACCCCCTTTACTCACCGTCACCGACAAACCCCCTCTATTCTGCTCTTTTCCTTTTCAGCGTGGGTCAACCGGTTTGCGCGAACAGGCGATTCTGCAGCCGAGCTTTATGATCAAGTGGGACAACAGGTGAGTGTAGATCGAGGCAACCTCTGATTTAGTCTTCAAGAATCAATACAAACTAGCTAGCCAAAAAAACAAAAACAAAAGCAAGCCAGTTTTTTCCCGTATTTTTTCCTCCTTTTTTTCTTCCTTTTTTTTTGTTCCTTTCTTCGTTGATTTATTGAAAGCTGGTTCTGCAGCACAAGCTTTCTACTTTGTTTCTGAGACACGTAACAGCAAATTGACATGTTCACACCTGTTTTATGTTTTTTTGTCGCCGGCCACCTTCTTTGTTCTGCCCAGGTTGCTGCTCTGCAGGAGTGGGGCAGCGGCACCTACAACTACTGGTTTGGTGCAGAAAATTCAGCTGCCGCTGCTTCTTCTACTAATGTTGGTGGTGCTGCTGGTGCTCCTGCTGCTGGTGCGGGTAAGGCTGCTGGTTCGGTTGGTTCAGCTGCTGGTTTGGCTGCTCCTGTGGGGTCTGTGCAGGGGAGGAGTTGGGCGGAGTTTTGGAGTGGAAGGAAGGGAGATGACCTGGATGGGGCTGAGTTGCTGGAACCTGGAGAGGAGAGGAGCACCATGGGTGTTTGTGAGAGTGAGGGAAGGGGAGAAGGGGACTGGGAGAACAGGGAGAGTGGAGGAGGGTGATGCGAGTGACGAGAGGAAAACGGAGGCAAGTGAAAGAGGAACGGAGGAGAAAGAGAAGGAGAAAGGAGGAATCCGTGCTAGTCTGCCTTTGTTACCAACTGTCCCTCCAGAAGCAAACACAAGCAACAGTGTCAGTTAGTGGAAATGAAACTCTCGATGTGATATTTATCTGTGTCTATTAGCAGTTCTCTTGTCAGTTGTACAAGGCCGAAAGCAATCTGCAACATTTCTAGATGCTCCCATGACTTCTATCGAGAAACGTTTCTCCTTCAATCGGTTCATTCAGAGCAAAAATCCTCTCAATTCGAGGTCGCGCTCGGGTTGGCTCGTTTCGTGATTCGGCTGCACTCCGGGTTCGGATATTTCACCTCCATGTGTACAGTAGTTCAGGTTCAGTTCCAGTTCATGCATGCACGATTCCGTTCAGGTTCAGTTCATTTCGAGTTTCTTCGGAATCTGACTGGTGCTGCTTGATTATGACTCACAAATAGTGCGCCCCGACCAGGTCTGCTAGATTCTCCCTTCATTGGCTAACTGATTGTGCTCTGTTTATTTCGTCGCATCAGTTTCCTTCTGTCCGCTGACTTGCGGATCGCAATCAGACTAGTCTCTCCTGTCTTGGCGGCCCGTAGTATAACAACTCCCTTACCTGACTCGGATCGATTGAGCAGTAGCGATTGCGCGACGACGGCTTGCAGTGTTTGGGTGTGATTGCAGACAGTGACGTTCCTTTTCGGTGAACGCGGCGTCTCAGTGAATGTTTACGGAGAAACTGCGATAGCGTACCCAACCCAATAAGCCATTGCGTTTTTCGCGCTTTCACAGCGATTCCCCCAGCTGTTCTTCTCAGTTAGCGATCCGCACGGCTCGCGTCGACACCCATGGCGCCGCGCGGGTCCGTCGTCGCGTTTCAGAAGCGATTCAAGGAGTCGTCTCAGCAGATGCTGGAGGTGGGCGTCGGAGTTCTTCTCTTTTCTGCTGAACTGACCTTTGTGACGCCTCTTGCGACATTTTTAGAAGCATCTGGAAGCAATTCAAGGAGTCGTCTCAGCAGATGCTCGAGGTGGGCATTGGAGTTGTTTCCTTTTCTGCTGACTGACCTTTGTGAGGCCTCTTGCGACATTTTTAGAAGCATCTGGAAGCGATTTTAGGAGTCGTCTCAGCAGATGCTGTGGGTAGGCTTTCCTCTACCTGATTTGTTTCCTTCGTGACTCCTCTAGACTCTACGGAGGAGATACTAACGCAGATTCTTGAAGTAGGTCCTCTAGCTGTTTTGATTCCTCTTGACCCTCGTTGCTTGCAAGAGAACGCGGAAGTACTTCCATGGAGGATTGACCAGCATGTGTTGCTTGGTGCTGGCGGACCATTCATTCCTGATCTCTTGATTCGTCTTTTCGACTTTCCGACTCAAAAAGCGACGCATTGCACGCAGTTTCCTGTCGACTCAAAACGCATGTGTTGCATGGTGCTGGCTGACAATTCTCTCCCGATCTCTTGCTTCCTTGCTTCAACTTCACTCTCCTTCGTTCCTTCTTCATCCTTCTCCCTTCTCTCATTCCGTCTATTCCTCTTCTTGACCCTCGTTCTCCATGTTTTCAAAGTTTCTGGTTTCCGCTATGAGGCTCCCCAACACTCCATGTTTCCCAGTTTTGAAATGCCGGCCACTCTATCCCATATTTTCCCGTTCCTTCTGGTAGTTTTCCCTGTTAGTCCTTTCCGCAGCTCTTTTAATGCACTTCATGAGGCGCCTTTTGAAGCGGCTTTTGAGGCGCCTCAAAAATGCTGGCCACCCCATCTTTGATCTGATGTTTTCCCATTCCTTTTGGTTTTTCCCTGTTCGTCCTCCCCGCAGCTCTTCTCAGAAGCAGCTCCTGAAACTTCCAGGAAGGTGACCAGGGATGACGTGGCCAAAGCAGCAGAGAGCCTCGTGAAGCAAGCTGTCAAAGGTAAGGAGAAATTTATATAGCTGTCAAATCCGGGATTGGAATGTGCATGCATGCCACAGAAGTCTCATCACTGTCATTTCTTCTGTTTCTCTCACCGCCACAGATTATGGCCTTTCCGTTTCATGCACCCCCTCTTTTCCGTTCTTTCCTGCTACCACAATATAATCTCCTCCTTTCCGCCCCCGTGCCCTCCCCCCTCTCCTTGGCGCTGCTACGTACCCTTGTTTTCCAAAACCACTTCTTCCTCAGTCGCAATCTTCTGGGCAGCTTCCTCTCCCCCAAAGGCAGCAGAAGCTGCCCCCCTGCTCTCCGATTTCCGAGTTTTGAGACGTCTCAGAACTCCTCCCACTCTCCTCTTTCCCACCTTGTCTCTACCATGCACACACCCCTCCCGCAGTGGCAATCTTCTGGGCAGCTGCCACTCCCCCAAAGGCAGCAGAAGCCGCCCCGCTCCTCTCGGATTTCCACGACTCCTTTGTGGCCTCCATGCTGCTGCTGCACGCCTGCAGTGCTGGCGCTGCTGCCACGTGGCATGCTGCCATTCGCTCGGCTGCTGAAGGCGTGGTGTCAGCCGCTACTGCTCTGCTGGACACTGCTTTGACCACGTCAAATGGTATGGGGTTGTGTTGCTGACGTGGGCAGTGATTTGATTTCATAAGGTCAGGGTTTAGGGCTGTATTGTAGTAATGATATAAAACAGTGTCCAGTTACTTATGGCACTTACAATATGAGGAACTACTGGTTTTCCTTATACTTCAAATCATTCCCTTCTCCCCGTTTTTTCCCTGCAGCCAATCAGCGAGCTCAGCTGCTCCCCAGGCAGGTGGGCGTGCTGCAGTCAGCATATGCAGCACTGAAGAAGCCTACAATATGAAGTCTGGTCACTCATTCCGCCCCTTTTTTATTCTATCCTTTCTCTTCCCCCCCCTCCCCTCCACTGTCGCCGCACAGCCACTCAGCGAGCTCAACTGCTCCCCAGGCAGGTGGGCGTGTTACAGTCAGCATACGCAGCACTGAAGAAGCTTCCAGTGAGCAACGAGGCGGCTGTGGGTCGGGCGCTGGTGACCGTTGCTGCGTCAATGAAAGACGTTGCCAGGGAGGTGGGAGAGATGGTTGGAAGAGAAGGGGTTGAGAACGGTGCTGTGGGAGAGGAGAAAAGCGAGGAGAAAGGGGGTGTGGAAGAGGAGGGAAGAGCTGTGGAAGGCGGAGGGGTTCCAGAAAGACCCGGGGAAAAGGACAGTAAAGAGGAGGAGAATTTGTCCAGTAATGACAAGGGGGAGGAGGAGGACGGTGATGGTGGTGATGGTGGTGATGGTGATGATGATGATGAGGATGAAGAGGAGGTGAGCCTGGGAGAGGAGGAGAGGGAGTTGGCACAGAGTGGTTTGCTAGTGTGTGTGGCAGCAGAAGGAGTGATTCGGTGTTTGATTTACCTTGTGGCATCATGGCAGCAGCACCAGGACTCATGGGGACAGCAGCAGCAGCAGCAGCAGCAAGACGATTTACAGTCACAGGGAGTTGTGGGAAAACAGCAGCAAGAGCAGATGCAGAAGACTGGTGCAGCAAAGCTTGCAACTGGCAGTGGCACAAGTAGCAGCGCTGCCAGTAGCTCGGCTAGCAACAGCAGCAACAGAAACAACAGCAGCAATAGCAGCAGCAGCGGCGGCAGCAATAGCAGCAGCAGCAGTATCTTGGAGTTGGTTCTCCGTGTGTGCATGGGAGCAAGTGAAGACGTGGACGAGATTGGTGCGTCTTTCTTCCCGCCCCAAGAGCCTGGCACCATCCGCATGCGAGCACAGCAGCTGCTAGGTCGAGCTAAAGAACTGAAATCACTGCTGCCGCTGACATCAGCAGCAGAATCATCGGGGAAAAACGAAGCAGCGGATTCAGGGTGTGCCAGTGTTGCTCCCACTGATGCTGCTGGTGAAGGGAATGGAGGAGAGGCTGGGAAAAAGGGTGTGGGGAAAGGGGGGATGAGCGTGAGTAAGTTGCATGAGGTGATTGGGGAGATGGAGAGGGATATAGATACATTGTTGCAAGTGGTGGGAGAGGAGAGTAGTGAGAGGGAGGTGGTGAAGGAAGAGGGAGCACAGGGGATAAGGGAAGGGGAGAAGGATGAGAAGGTTATTGATGTAACTGCTACAATAGAGAAATGTAGTTTGGATGGTTAAGGGTGCCAAAACACAGGAAGAATAATTCGATGATGGTGCACGTTGTGTTCTGATTGGTTCATGGTCTCAAATGTGATGCTCTTTAACATACCTACTTCATTTTCTCATAGGGTCAACATTGGTTGGGATGGGATAGCTAGCTGGCAATTGGCAAAAACTATGCTGGCTGGCTGGGGTATACCGCCACCTTGGTCGTGGTGCCCAAAAGTATCTGTTGACCTGTTGTTACGGGTGCAATCGAGCGAGATAATGAGGATTGCACTAAGTGGGCAAAAGATACAAAGTATGAGCTAAGGCGTGAGCGAATACTTATGTGAAACATGCAACGGTTACGCAGTGCGTGCGAGCTAGCTAGTGCTAGGCTGGCATCGAGGTTCTGGCTAGCCCCGAAGCATAGGCCGACTCGGCCGGGCCAGCTGTGCATGGTCTGGTGAAACATTGCGCGCGAAGTTGGCGAAGCCCCGTTAACAGTAACGGGCGGACAACGACTGCTGCTGTACGCGATATTGATGGTCACGGTAAGGAATGTAGAGAAAATCCTTACACCTGTATGGGTCAAATTCCACTTACCGTATATTAGTGCAGTGTAGCCTTGAGAAGCGGAGTGACATATTGTGGCTCACCACCAGGCGTTCTCCTGTAAACCCCCGCCCCCCGTTCAGTTGTGTCACGCTTCTGGAACTTCACAGGACGCGAGGGAATCCCGAAAAGCCTCCAGAACTCAACCTTCTAGGTTCATCGTCGAGATGATTCTTGAACTGATGGTAAGGAGATCTCGTCCGACCATTCAGCAGCATTGCGCTGGACATCACACAACTCCCATCCTTGAGCTATTTACAGTGGGGTGTTCGCTACTGCTTAATGGTTGACGGGCCGACTCCAGCTGCTCGACATTCCTGTTCACGGCCTAGCTCTTCTTTCTATTTTTTCTAGTCCACGATCGGTGTGCGTGACATGGCGGCGCGTCGTACCAAGCGATCTTACGCGATGCGCTGCATCGGCGTTTATGCACTGACTAACGATGGGTATTGACGGACAACAACGCTTCCTTGTTCGCTCGTCGGTGACCGGTGCAAATTTCAGCTTGACCTTCCTGACACCCGATGTTATTGGAGGCTCGTTTCTGCTCGAACCCGAACGAGGTATGCATGCAATGCGACGATTACACTGTGGAAAAAGGCTGCCGGTTTCTATGGATCCTCGTTTTTTTTTCTGTTGGCGATTTAAGGCTCCGATCTCTATGAATGAAGAGTCAACGATGATGAAAGCATACATATGGCTTCGTTTCTCGAAACATTCGCAGTGGCCGACTGAAAGCTTTCGCCCTTGCCGGGGCTTGAGAGCTGATGTGGCTTTTTCCTTCCTTGGATGGCTGAGTTGACTCAATGAGATCATGCTTCCTTTCTCTTAACCTGATAATGGTCAGCATTATGTCTCAGTCTGGCCCTTCACCATTTCTTTCACGTTCCAAAATCCCTCGTTGGTCTGGTTTATGTGAGTCGTGATCAACCTTTCAAATGTTGCTCTTACTTCTCTGTCAACGATGATGAAAGCACACTTATGGCTTCGTTTCTCGAAACATTCGCAGTGGCCGACTGAAAGCTTTCGCCCTTGCCGGGGCTTGAGAGCTGATGTGGCTTTTTCCTTCCTTGGATGGCTGAGTTGACGCGATAACATTTGTTTTGTACACTGACAGGAGTGTGATGATGTGGATGATGATAACCTTTTCCTCAGTCGGATTCCTTCTGACACCTTCGGGTGGTTGAAGCTACACAACCTTTCTCGCCGACACATCCATCACAAGTGCTCCTAGTCTTCGAATTTTGCTTTGCTTTTTTGTATTTCTCTCTGGTGTTTTCAATGATGGTAATGTGGATGATGAAAACTTTCCTTCAGTCGGATTCCTTCTGACGCTTTTGGGCGATTGAAGCTATTACACCTTTCTCCAGCTGACACATCCATCTTCCCATGTTTTAGTGTGGTCTACTTCTCACTTAAGTTCGCTACTGGGAGTGGAGGAACACCCTAATCAATGACGTTTCTCCCCATTATCTGTAGCAAGAAGGACAAGGAGCAGAAGGCTTGGCGTGAATTATTCCTTGCACTGCCAGGTTACCGCGTTTCTGACAATACGAGATCCTGGAATTTGTTTGCGGGGTCATCTTTTGGTTCTTCGCTCATCCGTGCCGTTCCGTGTTCAGTGTTCTGCAGGTTCAATTCAGACCCAAGATTCGTGTATGGAATGCCAGATGCTGCAACCGTGCATTAGAGGGTTACGACATTGATGTGAACGGAAGTTGTAAGCCCTCTTTTCTCTTACCTGACGATGGAAGCTTGAGGCTTTTGTTATCTTATCACGGCAAACCAGATGGTGGCGATGATGAAATACGGACTCCCTCTACTGAAACTAATGAGGAATCTCCGGCGGAATCGAACCTAAACTAAATCTGCCATGTCTGAGCCACCAAATTTGATGCTGCAGCTACCGCTTCGTGTAGCTTTATGCGTGTGTTTCTGTTGTGCTGCTCTTGTCCTCGCTTCCTGCTAAAGCATCAATTTTTCTGAGTGCTTGGGATAAATTTCACAAGTTTAGTTTACCTGCTGTTGTTTCTTGTAAGGATTTTGTTCCATCTTTTTCTTGGCCCTCCTCTGAGCCATGGATGTGAGCTTTAGAGCGTTCCACATGTCCAGGGTATGATTGGAGGGCGACATGGACATGCCATGGTAAGGTGTAATCCTGCATGGCCATTGCATCTTAGTAGACGTTCTGGCGCTTTCTTCGCCTCTGCGCATATGCTGGATGCTACATCCGGTCTGAGGATTTGTGGTTCTGCCCAACATTCTCTGCCCATCCCTTATCAGCCCCTCACCCGTTTTGGATGCGTCTCCGTTTTTACCTGTTTACAGGTTATTGAGTCATATCTGTGGCAGCATGCTGTGAAACGTGATGGCTGGTTTACACTGATAGTCATCCATTGCCGATTATCCAGCCTTCTGACGTGTGCCACTGGTCAGTAGCTTCACTGCCCACATCTGTTCCCCCTTGGCATTCTGAGCGATTTTCGTTTGCAACCTCGTTCCGGGTTATGGCCGTGCAGTGATGTGATTCAGAGTATTCTGACACCTCTACAACTAGAGTCTCGTTGCCTTTGGGCGTCAAGGCTCAATGCTGATAATCCTCTTTGTTGTAGTCTGAGCACGGTGTTCCGGATTCGCTGTCCTGCTTTGTTTTGTTCTACTGTATTGCTGTGTAAGAGCTCTGCTGTATAGAACATGGTACCACACGTATCCAAGCAAGCTCACTCCATGCTGCCCCTGATTTGTGGAGCAGTGTGATTTTTTCACTTGCTATATTGTTGCATTGGGTATTTTCATGTGAGGGGTAATAATCATACCAGTTCTCCCTCCTGTACTCCTGCAACATTTTCTTGTATCCAGGAAGCAGGTCCCCAGAAGTCCAGACGTTTACTCTGATTTGGTAAAAAGAAGACTGATTTTCTTGTATCCAGGAAGTAGGTCCCCATTTGAAATGAGACGATGCCATAGCTACAAGAAAGCAAACTTTCTAAATACGGTAATGTAGCGCTACAGTAGTCAGTTCTTAAAAAAGCTTGCCTCTTGGAGCAATGATTGAATGCACCTATTCATGTGTAACCTTGCTGGGCACTTGCTTGAGTGACAATGCTGCCAAACACATCTGTCAGCACTGTTGTAGATGACATGGCTGCAAGGACAACGATAACAACTGCCGCATACACAAAAAACGTCAGCCTTGGCCGGGGCCCTAGATGTTGTTGGGCTGAGAAAAATACGGTAGCCCTTAGGATCCTTGCAGGGGTGGACTCTGGGTATAACTGAGTTATGTAATAGCGGAAGCGTTTAATGAAGAGTTGTGAACCACCTTGCGCTAGTATGTGAGGGCAAAGTAGATTGATTAAACAAAAAACATACAAGATCAGGCCCTCAGATTCGTTTTTGGCCTGTCTGATTCGTCAGACTCTCTCTCAGTGCCGTATTAGTTTGAAATCCTCAGAGTTGTCTAAAAAAAAGTCTGAAACGTCAGAGTGTGCTTAAAAAAAAGTCTGAAACTTTCAGAGTACACTCAAGTAAAAGTCTGATTGTGCTTGTTGTAGCCCTAGTAGTCATATTGAAGCAAGCCTACTCCATTTCTCATAGAGCTTTGCCTACATTCATACTACTAATACTACTACTACTACTACTACTACTACTACTACTACTACTACTACTGCTGCTGCTGCTGCTGCTGCTGCTGCTGCTGCTGCTGCTGCTGCTGCTGCTGCTGCTGCTGCTGCTGCTGCTGCTGCTGCTGCTGCTGCTGCTGCTGCTGCTGCTGCTGCTGCTACTACTACTACTACTACTACTGCTGCTGCTTAGCCTTGACAAAATCACAGTTAGAATAGAACTAACTAACTAACGACCCTACCTACATCCAGTCAGCAAATCCATTGTCATCATCACTGTCAACTGCATCTTTCTTAGCGTCTAAGTCTACCACTTCCATCTCGTCATCAACCTCCCTACTCTTCTTGCTCTGTTGCCTTATGTGAAAAATAGGTAGTTAGGAGGTCGGAGCCATGGCTAGGAAAGCCCTAGTTAGGAAAGAATAGTTTAAGGAAAAGAGGGGTTGCACTAGCAAGATTGGGGATACAAATAGCAAACCCTAGAAGGGTTATACTCGCTATAGAGCACCCCACTACAGGCTAGAGCATAATATTCTGACACACCCCCATAGCCAAAGTGGGGTGTAATCAGCAGAGCAAGCAAAGTAGTACAAGCTCAGGGTGGATCACAATGTCACCACACATTCTGAGCACAAGTTCAAGAAGCAATAGTTTAAAGTTCACAATTACGAGCAAAGCTAGTGGTAGTCACAACGGGCAAGTGAGGAGGAGGAAAGAGACTATGAGAGGAGAGGAGGTAGTGGGCGGCAGCTGAAGCTGCTGGCACACAGCGCAACTGGAGCAACTGGCACACGGGCAACTGGAGCAACTGGCACACTGACAACTGGAGCAACTAGCACACGGGCTACTGGAGTAACTGGCTCCGCGGCTAAAAGTAGCGGCAGACGAGCAACGGACTCACGGGCGACTGGAGCAACGGGCTCACGGGCGACTGGCGCAACGGGCTCACGGGCGACTGGCGCAACGGTCTCACGGGCGACTGGAGCTGCTGGCTTCACGGCGGCCACCCCCTTCAACCTCCCCAAACTATCCCACTCCCCCTGACACACACCCGCTGCTACACCGCTAGCTCCACTCCCCCTTCACCCCCCCTTAGTACCAGTCCAACAGCTCCAACTAGTCCACCCCCCCTCAGCGGCAGCTGCAGCACAGGGAGACGGAGGAGGAGGAGGAGCAGGGAACAGCACACAGTGGCTTCACCCCCATACCCCTCACCCCCAAACCCTAATTCGGGAGAACGGGTTGTAGGAGGGGTGGGGCGCCTGTAGAAGCACGGGGGACAGCGGGGAGGGCAGGGGCAGCGGGGAAAGGGCCGCCCACGGGCCTGGCACAGCCGCCCGAACCGTGCGCAGGCGGCCCGAGCCGCGCGCGGGCCTGGCGCAGCCCGTACGGGCCGCGCGCGGGCCTGGCGCAGCCCGTACGGGCCGCGCGCGGGCCTGGCGCAGCCCGTACGGGCCGCGCGCTGGCCTGGCGCAGCCCATACGGGCCGCGTCCGGGCCTGGTGCAGCCCTTACGGGTCGCGCGCAGCCTGTACGGGCCGCGCGCAGGCCACGACGGGCGACAGGGGGCGACGCGGAGGTCCCCGTCGCCCGTCGCAGCGCCTCCCGAGGGCGACGCGCCGAGGGACGGGGCAGAAGCCCGCCGCGCGCGCCGGGGCGCACAACGGGCAGAGAACCGCCGCGCGCCACGGGGCGCACGGCGGGCAGAAAACCGTCGCGCGCCTCGGGGCGCACGGCGGGAAGAAAAACTGCCGCACGCCACGGGGCGTGCGGCACAGAGAGTAGCAGTAGAAGTTGCAGCGGAAGGAGCGTGGTGGGGCCCACAGTCCAGGAGCTTACTGCTCTGATCACCATGTGAAAAATAGGTAGTTAGGAGGTCGGAGCCATGGCTAGGAAAGCCCTAGTTAGGCAAGAATAGTTTAGGGAAAAGAGGGGTTGCACTAGCAAGATTTGGGATACAAATAGCAAACCCTAGAAGGGTTATACTCGCTATAGAGCACCCCACTACAGGCTAGAGCATAATATTCTGACACCTTCCTGCAGGCGTGAGTGGAGCGTTGCTTTGGGGCTTGCGCTTCTTGTAGCTCCTCCAGATGGTCACAATTTCATCCCACTTGGGCTCATAGTCCATGAGACTCATCCACATGAGGTCTCCTAGGCGTGCATCTTTCAGCGCGCCTCTCTGCCACGACTAGATGATGTTCTGGCGGGAGAATCCCCGCTCGCACTCCACTGTGCTCAGCGGCAATACGGCTACTGCCACCCACAGAAGCACGAGGTTGGGGTAGTTGTCCCGCCAGTCGGGTGTCTTGAGCATGGCAGTGAGCCCGGCGTGGAAGCTGCGCTCGTTCTTCGTGGCTCATGCAAGCACCGAGGAGAACATGCGCAGCTCCTTTTCCGCACGACGCTCGTTGATTCCTGGTGGGGGAGGAAGAGTAACAGTAGATGATGCTTAGTGAATATACAATGAAGCACAACATATGCAATGACAATTACAACAGTTACATGAGAACTACACAAACATGGGCTTACCGGGCAGGATCTCCTCGGTCTGGTCGGCCTTGAAAAGGGTCACAAGCGACTCCAGCCACTCCATGCACCTGCGGTTCCTCTCTCCTCAATCCAGCGGGTACTCGTCGGGGGTGAATAGCCTTGCCCCAGACATCCCTTCCAGATCGCCAAGCCGATGAAGCAGTTGGTGCACGATCACCTCGGCAAACTGGGTGCAGACCTCAATGCAAGCATTGTGGGTCCCAGGCCCATCAAATTCCTCTTGCTCGTCCTCATGCAACCTGAAGGTGAAGCGTGCAGGGCGGCCGTCCGAGTCGACACCCTCGACAGTAACTTCCTTGTTTCCTCCTGGGCCGTGGCGCGTGATGAAGGGGGACAGCAGCTCGCTGACGCCGCCACCGAAGTCGTCGCCGCAATCGACGTAGCGGCTCTCGATGTGGGAAGTTGTGCGCTTGATCTGCGCATGCACGCCCACATAGTCAAGCTGGACAGAAACAAGGCACAAGGTAGTTAGCTCATGCGCACGGTAAGCATGCTGGAAAGAAGCAGCACTAGAACTTAGCAGAAGAGGATATTGACCAAGCATGCAACAACAATGATAGGACACTATAACATTGAGCTCACCTCTTTGTGCTGGAACGCCCTGTTCAAGATGTTGAGCTGCTCAAGCACGTCTGCTATGAAAAACAGGAGAAAGTGAAACCTGTAGCTTGTCACGAGCACATACAGCTCCGCGTCCCACTCCTTCAGCATCACGATGAGAGCCGGCAACAATTTTAGAAGCCTCAGCACCGCGTCACCCCTCGATAGCCAGCGGACGGTATGAATGCCTTGCAGCTCCAGTGAAGTTGACGTGAAAACTTCCTGCAAGCCCATGAAGCGCTGGTGCCATGGCCCAGAGCGGCCGAGATGCTGTGCCACTGTCGGAATCACCTTGTCAATGACGTTGAAGGCGGGGATTTTCTCGGCGGCAGTTTTAGCCGCCAGTGCCTCCCTGTACACGAGTGAAGGACATTAGTGTAGTGAGACTGTCAAATGGAATATGTAAACTTTGCACTGTACGATTAGGCACAAAAATTCCAGACAGTACCTGTGCGCGATGCAGTGGGATGACACCAAATGTGGGATGCGCAGGCGGAGGCGTGTCGTGAGGCCAGCCTGTTTGCCCATCATGACTGCCGCACCGTCGGTGCTGATGCCTGC